ATGACGAAATATTGGTAAGTTTACATATTTCATTTCTTCTCTCAGATTTGACTGAAGGCCATAGGTGAAATCATTGAAAGAACAGGGTGCCCAAAACCGTAGTAACAACTCACGTTAACGATGCGACAATTACCTATGAGAAACCACATTTTTAACCCCATACTTTTGTCGGATGGCTTAAAGCCACTGACACAAATGGTTTCTCTTTGATCGCTGGTGCAACAACCCAAACTTACTCCGTCTTACGTAGGCGAGAGACAGGCCGACGATATTGACCGACGTTCTTTATCACTAGCCTTATTGATGTCAACCTCAACATGCAGTATAAGTCCCGGCATTAATGTTGCCGGGTGTGGAATTCTTCGGTTAACAAACAACGACTAATTTTCGACTAATTTTGTCAGCTGTTAAGCTTAAGAGAGCCTTCCGATGCCGAGGATTTACTTCAGAAATACCCGCTGTGTGTTGTTAGCTACGTTAAGGTAAATCCCCACGCGAATTCCCGGATTGGTTGCCCATTAAAGACAACCATTTGCTCAATCATGATTCGCACACCGTCAAGTCACGAAGAACAGCAAAGACTCAGCTAAAGCTATGGAAAAGACCAGCTGTCGAGTGTTTGGGCCATAAAACTGGCCGTCGTGCTAAATCTGTTTGGTTTAAGGTAGATTCAACAACCTACTAGCCTACAGCAATATAATCTTAGTCACTGTTGTTTTGGTTATAAGGTGGGTTCTGTATTTTGTTGTTGAAAGATTGGTCAGAGGAACGAAACGGCTTCAGAGGTCAAAGGACGGATGCTAGATGCTTCACAAGCCGCAGGTTCGTCGCTACATGTATCGAATGGAGAGTTCAGGGGTAGCACAGTCATTGGTCAACAATGTGCAGCGTTGTTATAAAACTTTTGTAGTGAAATGGCTCTGGCGGCAACGAGTAAAAAGCAAGTTTAGGTCAGTGGAACTTCATTTATAGTGAACATAAAACCACCAATGAAAATAACTGAGTTGATCAAGGCTGACAAGATTTATTCACGGTAAATACTTTATTCTGGTTCTTGGGTAAATGCATTATGTTTCACGCCGAATACCGGTTTTATTTTGAGGTTCACGAGACAGAGTGTCCAGACGAATGATGTAACTCGCATCAGTTGATTAAATTATTTGGTATCACCATCTATGTTGCACATTAATTGAAGCTGAACAACATACTTCAGCTATTGTATCACAATGTGAAAAGATAAGATGTACAAAAAGCGGGATAGAATATTATTATATAGTGCGCAAGCCGACGAGTAACCACTGCTTAGTAATATATTATGCTTCAAGACTGAGATCGTGGCTGTATGCGGTAGATTGGCGGGGTCGAGAAAGACAAAGTAGCTCACAACACAAACGCTATTGAAGTCCATTCCTCGCCATGCCAACTAGTGTATCCAAACAAACGTGTTCATTGTTCTTAGGATCCCTGCCCGACAATCTGGAGATACAAACTGATGCTAAGTTCAAAGTGGTGTGAGAGTTCATTTTCCTTGACCAGGTAATCTCACTGCCGTCTCCCTTTCTCTTCCATTCATACCCCGTCGCGCAAACAACGCACGCCGCGGGAGTCGGTGTGTTGACATACACAACATATGACTCAACCATCGGAGCCTTTTTTGTGAAGAATGTTGCTGAGCGATTCTCCAACTCTTCTTGTACCAGATACATGACGCGGAGCACTCTCGTTGATCACGCGACGTTCCCACCAGACATGAACTGGGAAGGTATCGATGATCAAACGTAACTAGCCTCTTTATGTCTGTCTACCTGATGGGCAAGATTTCGCAACCGTACAGGAGGGTTGAGCAGACGGCTGCATTGTAAAGTCTGCCCTTCAGATCGAGAGTGATGTCTCGCGTGCACCACAGGTGACGGCGGTAGGAAAAGCGCCTTGTGTTTTTCTTATTCGGTTCGTGTTCTCTTCCTGTATTCCACTGACACAAATGTAGCTGCCGAGCTACTTGAATTTCTTGACGACTTCTAGCTGATTACCATCACTGGTCAGTGCAGCTGTAGGTCCCTGCCAACCCTGGAGAAGGCCTTCGCAATTCGCTAATGCGAAACACAGCCCGAACTGACTGACAGCCAATGCTTATTTGTCGAATGCTGCCTGGCACGTCTGGGAGCTGTCACAGCTTAAGGTGGTGTCATCGGCGTAATCCAGGTCACGAACTCTTTCACCTTGAAGCGGCTGCACACCTTTTAGGTTGTGTCCAGTGAATGCCGTTTTCATGCCTTCGGTAATGAGGAAGTTAAAAAGTAATGATGACAGCGGGCATCCTTGCCTCACATCGCTGGAGATGTTGTAGAGCGGCGACAGTGTGCCGTAATTCCTCACGCTGCCCGAATTGCGCACGTAAAGTGCTGTAACAATGTTTACGTATTTTTTCGCGCACACACTTCTTGCGTAGATAGTCCCAAAGTGCACATTAGTCCACTGAATCGAAAGCCACTTTTATGTCTAGGAACACGACTACGGTGAGTCTCTAATAAATATAACGATACTCTAACAATTAAGATAGTGTAAAAACGTGATCAATACAGTCGCGATCTCGACGAAACACGGCTTGTTCTTCTCACTCTGGGTTTCACGGGTGTTAGCTAGTCCATAAAAAGTGAGAGAGGCAAGTAACTTAGAGGATTAACTTTTATCATGCAGGATAAATTTTTGCACCAGCTATTTAATTAGTTAGGCTCTGACGTGGGAGGCGAGTGGCGTACTCGATATATCCTGGTGTATCACACAGTTCGTATTCCGGCTTGTCATTATTTCGCATTTACATCGTTGTGTTGCGGGGATTTCCTTGCCAATACTGACGCACTTAGATGCTGGTGATAAATGCAGTCTGCTCCTGGCACAACACAACAGTCACTGATGGATGTCCTTTAAATCCATGGGACCATTTCCTAGATGTGCCAAAACATGATATCAGGCCTGAGAGTTATGCATTCTCTTCATGTTGGGTTGTTCTAACCGGATAAGAAGTATGTTTCTACTATTCTTATCCATCATTTGTTCACACTTAATAACAGCTTGTTGTGAGCCTAGAAATACACTTCGTAGAATTATTGGGCTAGTTCGTAGAAGCTTTTGTTGCATCCCTGCCTATTTGAAACGTTGTGCTATGCGTTCCTGGGCATTTCATCTATGCTATATAATGGGACTATTTGCAAACAAAACTTGGTCTCAGAAATTCCAGTTAGTAGAACAAATCTAGGACCCGCCTTAGATCATCCGGCTTGTGGATACTAGTCTTTCCCATGATCAGCCGTGCACCGTTTCTGTCCACTCTATAGTTTATATGCGCCACAACTTCTTCGACGAACACTGAGTACTTTGCACCATTGCAGACGCCATCATTGATGTTCTTAGAGTGAAGGATGCCTTGGTTATTTCTTGCCACAATCTGCCTCACCAACTGTCCTCTGACTGTTGTTGGGTGGAGCCTGAGATAATAGTCGGTAGTCAGCGATACGTAAGAGCCGTATCAAATACGGGACAGTATGGAAGTTGGAGGCGACTAAACCAAACGTATATTGTGCAGGCTACGAGAGTAGGAAGCGAATTACCCAGAGCGAGAAACGGTGCAGCAAGGTGCTCACCAAAACGATTTGTGCCAAAGGATGTACCGTCAGTAAAACCAGTGGACGTTTTGCAGATTAAAACAACCGTAAAATCCAATGTTGCGAAATACTGAAAGAGCGTGTTTTCGGGTACACTACACTGTGGGCAGGATGACGTTCTAAAACACTCTCCTTCTTAAGTTAGCCTGCGTCTACGTCAATTGCAGATTGAACCAGCTCTCGTTTATGACGATGCACTTTCCTTTGTCATCTGGGGCGTTTACCGGTAGGTCCAGGGCTTAAGTCTGCTGACTGGTCATTGTCGTGGCACTGTTAACGCGGTCTAGCTTGTAGTGGTAATTCTTGTTGTGGGAACTTTAGCCTTATGAGGGCGTTGAACACCGTAGTTACGCAAAGTTGGATCTCGTTTTCCTGCAGTCGCTGCTGTTGCCACACCAAAGTGTCATCTGCATGTCATTCGATGGTCTCGTTTATGCGCTGTAATATCTCGGGAGTCAGTTTCGCTCCGTTGTTTCTTGCACTGCTTTGCTGAGTAATGCTACCTGTTCACACTTAGGCACTGATTATGTTTCTTTTCGTGCTGTCGTTGACATTACCGATTTTGTCAGCCTCGTAGGTGGTGTTACCGTCGATGAACACAGGCTTGGTTATTATCTCTTTCTGTGTCCATCATGTTCATTTGTTCCGTTGTGGCTTCGAAGATAGGTCTTCTCGTCTTTCGTAATTCATTTTGACCAGTTCTTGCGGCAATAGGCTGAGAAAAGTAAACAACATTTAGTGGAATCATAACAGTCTACACTGTTCTCCTAGTCGCGTGGCTGGGCAGGTTAGTCAAACTAAGCTTTATACACCCGTATGGGTGCATTTTCAGAATACACATACAAAATATGCGAATGCCGATATGTAGAGGTAGGAAAACTGGGTCACAGCCTTTGATCCAGGGGAATGATGCTCATGATAAGGAGAAGGACTTGCACTTGCGTCCACTGCTTGCGCAATTCGGGTTACATTGGCGTGACTGCAGTATGACCTTGACATTGTCCAATCATTTTACTCCTCATATCTTGCTAACAAATAACTGATATCCTGCCTAAAATGGACAGCCTCCAGTTCGATCTGGAAAGCGTACAGTTTGATTTGCAAAACGTCCAGTTCAGTTTGCAAAACGTCCGGCTTTTTGCAAGATTACAGTTTAACACAAAGTTGGTGTATTTCGTACTTTGGTGGTATTATAAACCTTCGTGCATTTCTCCGCATTAATTTTGTGCTTCCATTTTTATTGTTTGTGCATCCACTTGTTTTCTGAGGGTGCTATTTAAACATACAATTTTTTCCTCAACTTGTCATTGTCTCTCGATCTACCCGCATTCTATTTTTTGCAGCTTCCATACTCGGAAGTTTTCTCCTCGTGCATCCTAGCTATGGTGCCATTTGCACTACCTTGTCTAGTGTTCTCAAGCCTTTTCACTGCGGTTGTTTTAGGAAATACAGTCGAAAGTAAGTGCTATGGAAGTTATTTCCTCTCTGCACAGTCAGAACCGAGGATTGTTTTGATCTACCAGAGAACCCCATCACAGTGCTTGGTGCTGTTGTGACTAGTTCCCGCAGTACTGGCAGGAGTGCATGCTACTTCTCACCTGCAGCGCCGGAGCAGTATATCAACATCCAGGTCTCCGAGATGTCTCTCCCAGAAGTTTCTGGAAGCTGTCCGGAATTTAGTTTAAACGAATTCTCTTCAATAAGTGAAGTATTCATTGATGACGATGATCCTAATTTTCGCGCTCCTATGGTTATACCCGCGGACCCAAACCTCCTGGTTAGTCGTGATTATTAGTCGTATTGTTTTTGATCTCTTAACAACTTTAACGTGCCGCACCATATTCCATTTGTGTGCTACAAAATTTGTTGGTCCTAGGCATCTTGTTCGTTTGCCGGTTGCCGTAAGGATTGCACGCATGTGATATAATTTGACGATGGCCGATTTAAATCCGCCTAGGTGCAGACGTCCTTGCGATTTACCCAGTCCTCGCGCGGCTGTTGGTGCTCACATGACAGCAAAGCGTTATTATAAGTGCCGACGTGCTTCTGATGCTTTCTCGTTACTCTTACATTAAGAATTCTCCTATAGCATCCAAAGTGTCAAGAAATTTCTTGACGCCTATTTTGCGGATTACAGGTGTAAAGAGCGTATCGCACTCGTCTCGGATGTGGTGCAGCTGCAATATGTTGCCATCGCGCAGGATCAGCGACGTGCTTCCGTGCAGGTGCCCGATCTAATTACGACGGAGCAACACACATTTAATTCTCTTCGCTCTTAAGTTTCAGTATTCAGTATGCTCTGTCGCTATCCGATGACAACAAATAAGGTAGAAACGGGTTATGGAGTTCAGTGTTTTCGGCCAGCAACACTCGATATCTATCGGATTTATCAACCGTTTACTTTAATTTCGTTAGTAAAATATGGGCTGTTAAAGTAATCAACTTTGTCAATTAAGATGGAAATATGGATTCCGTAGCATTCTTTGCTCTTGTTTCATTTGGTCCATTGAACTTTGAAATATAGTACTCGTGAGTAATTTTCAAAGTATAAACGAAGCCGATGCCACGTTTATTTTCAGATGTCCATTTGCTATCTATGAATAATAAAGAACTGAAGAATTGACATATTCTTGATGACACAAGACACGCCTTCATAGGAATGCTCATGATAAAACTGCATAAATGTGTATATGTATTTAACACTTGCCCAATAAACATTTGACAGCGTGCCACAACACATGAGTAACAATACCAAAAAAGAGGAAGAAGAGTCAGAGGAAGGGATGCAAAGTCCCACGTGCTGTGTGGGCTTCCCGGTTGTCCAGGCCAAAGAACAAGGTTGACTTAAGGGTCCCCACCCCGAGCCTTTTGGTCTTAAAGACCTGACTCGCAAGGCAGCGGGTAAACGTACAGAAACGTCACAAATATGACATTAACGGTGAATTTATCCTCCATGAATATATATGTGAAACTATTTGTATATATGGTTATTGTTTGCATTTGTGGATGTGATATCATATTTGTGATTGCGTTCTGTCGGATCGTCCTAATGCAAAAGGGCTAAAACAACCCTCAGGCTAAAGGAATGACGTCCTCGGATGAGGGAACATCGCTTGGAAAAGCAATGAGCAGTGGGTTTATTTAGGGGGATGCTTGTGGACAACATACGCGAACGAAACCTGTTCTTAACACCTATCATTTCGTTCGGGGGACAAGCCTGAATGACAGCGAGTTTAAATGATGCTCTGGTATGGGTCCAGGAAGGGTTTTCCACCCATTAGTCTACCCAACCGCTGTGCTAGGCAGGTCTAGCCAGCGAATGTGGTTGTAGGGTCTCACTAGGGTATAATACAATTCTGGTATGCACAGACGTTGTCGGTCAGAAATAGTTTGTTCAGTTGACTTTTAGTCATGCCTTCATTATGTTCACAGATGGATCGTAAAACTATGTCGCATTGTCTAACTTAGGGGTACTCTAGAACTTCATTATCAGGCCGGTTGCGCATGAATATTTTGACTACCATTAAACACCGCATCAATCCGTTTCGCCGTTATACCTGAGGTTTATTCAGTTAAGCATTTTGGGTTTTGTTTAGTGGCACTGTAGAGAAGCTGAATTTACGCACCAACCTCACATGGCTTCTGGGAGCTGTTCTCACGCTAATGTCTAATACTGCTTCTCACATATTCCTTAGTTTATAATATCTTGTGTATTCTACGTCAGGACAGCGTCATTCAAGTTACACGCAAGTTTTGAGTTTACATACTTCATACTATACCTTCCTATATTCACAGTAGCAATAGTTGTCTCCGAAAGTCGCAACTGTTTTTGGTTTGCTTTCTTAGGGGGTTGTATGATACAATTGGCTTAATGTCCAAACTAATGCTGCTATCGTCCTATTCTTGGTGCTGTGATTTGCACACTGCTTCCTGCTTCATGTGCAACTCATCTTACCACGCAACAGCCAACTAGCTATCCAATCTTTTAGAACCAGTGGGAAGTTATATCCATGTATATTCTTCGCGATACACCCAGCTTCTTGAACTCCACAATACATCTTAACCTAACTGGAAGAAAGATGTTTTCTTTGGACGTCATGTCGCTCTTCAGGAATGTTCCTTTAGAAGAGACAATAGACTATTTATGCGACACCATTCGAGCACATCAGTTGAACGTCGGTCTGTCGAACAATCGGTTGAAACAGCTACACATGCTGTGTATTAGCAACGTACAATTTCAGTTTATTGGGATAATATACAGACAAAAGAACGGAGTAGCGAGTGACTCATTACTAGGACCGCTGCTGACAGATGTATTCATGAGCAAATTAGAAAACAACTACCTGAGCGGAGACATTTGTGTATTACCTTATTACGGGCGATATGTAAATGATATATTTTGTGTGACAGACAGTCAGTGCTGCACAGAGCAAATTTTATCCCATTCTAACTCAGCGCACGATAAAGCTAAGTTTACCCTGAAATCTGAACCCCATGGTACGATGTCCTTCCTAGACGTCCCAATTAGCAGAAGCTCGGATAGGTCGAGCCAACGCAGGGTGCACAAAAAAGCCATGTGAAATGGACAATATGTACATTTTGCCAGGTTTGTCCCACTAAGCCGGAAGCGGAACTTGATTAGATGTTTAACCGAAAGCACAAGAAGGATATGTAGTGAGGACACGCTTCCGAATGAGCTGAATTTGTTAGCTGACCTTTATGAGAGAAACGGCTATCCCGAAAAGTTTGTTCGGAGAAATCGGAAGTGCTGGGAATCGAGAGCTAACACCATTTCGATTGTAAAGAACTTGGTTTATTTGTCATTGCCGTTCCAACGGCATGGAATAGCACAGGCAATGTCTAAAACGCTATCCGATGCCATAAATCGTAACTACTATGCAGCAAACTTACGGTAAAACTTTACTTCAACGCCAGTCGTAAGGCTTCAACTCAAGGACAGACTTCCTCGGTCAAGTGCTTCTTTCTGTTTATACTCCTTTACTTGTTCATGTCGAGTAAGTTCTAACAGAAGAACAACGACGAGACTGTCTAAGAGAATCCGTGAGCATTGCCGATTTGATTGTGTGTAGGTGGAATCAAAACATTGATGAGCGCCGTGTTGGTACATCTAGTTGATTTTAACCACCAGATCGATACGTACCAATGTTTTCAGCCCAGTTACCGCGAACCTGGATGCTACACATGAGCGGTAAGATGTCGCTTATTAGCAACAGCCGAAGCGATCGCCATCCGCCTCCAGAACTCAGACCTGTGTGTAAAAAACGATTCGTTCAGATTCTCACTCCTCCCTGGCCCCATATTACAGTAACCCCTGATGAGGAACATGCAGCTGACATGTCATTGACCGTTTGTGAACCAAGCACTTGATCTTATCATTTAAATAACCTGGACATTTTAACTTTACCCTTTTAACTTTACTTTCCTCTGATCTTTTAACTCATTTTATTCGTATCAGTTGTGATGTACCAGCCGGAAGAGATCCACCGAAAACGCACTTGTTCGCTGACTCTTGTTCTGATTCTCTATTTTTTCTTTGTCCACTTTATTTCTTCACCAACATCTTGACCTTGGTTTTTGCTGGTTTAACTTGGATACATTAATAAAAACTATTAAACTGCCAGGTATACGCGGTAACGGCGCTTCGCTGTCAGGCGACTACCACCAGTCGGCGCAGGCTGAGTATACCGTGAGAACGCCCAACCCCACGCGGATTCGAACCGGTGACCTTATGGTTGCATACCAGGAGTACAGACCACTTGGCCACCGGCCGAGCGGATATAGCTATTACTCCGCTGCTTCTGGTGATCAGCTGTCAACACATTTTACCAAATGTTCTCTTACTGAAGTGACTTGTACACGCTAATATATTTGCTAAATGCGTCAAAGTACCGGTGAGTGTCGCTAATAAGTGTTGAAGACTAGGAGATGCCGGGAAGAATGTCTATTGAAAGAAAGAGTACAATGGTTCGACGTATTAACTAAAGACGCAACGCTGATAGAGCACATCGTTTGTTGCAGCCGCGTGACGAATCCAACTTTGGCACGTGTGGGTGTGTGGTGCACATAGTTCAAACGAACAACTTAACCAAACAGTGCAGTATTCCGTATCGATCGCCTAGATGTGGAATAAGGTACTGCTTTTGCCTAGAATTTTCCGAAATAAATCCGGGTTAACTGATGCGGTCTCCAGGCTTCTAGTGCCTCCTATACTATTCTAAGTGGCCGCATAATTTTTATTCCTTTCGTTTTCTATCCATAAGTAGAGGTCACCCTTTTGTTGCGCATTGGCGTAGAAGTTCGTCGCTATCATTGAATTTTCTAAATTCTATCTTAGAGCAATTGTCTTATGGTCAAATTACAGCACATAATCTCCACTTAGGCTACGAGTTAGTTTGAATCTGACCTAGGATATTTGGATCACTAAAACCGCATTTGAACTGGTAACCTCTTCATTTTTATCGCCGTTTTCACTCTTACTTGTGCTCCTTAAGTAGTGGAAGTTGTAGCTAGGACACGAACTCGGTTGGACTGTGGAGGTAGCTGACAGCCGCTCTCATTGTTACCCCACTGGGCTTCCTAAGTGACGTTTGAGGTTGCTCGTCGCAACCCATTCACACTGCGGGTACTTCAAGCCCCAACGATGAAGCTCTAACCGCTGCATCAAGTGTTACTCGCGGAACCCATAGACCTAACGATCATGACGTCCGGAGTCAAACATCTCGTCCCTGGTTACACTCCAAACTCCGATTGCCTGTACCCGCAGAATCTATATAAGGAGCAAAGCGGTCATAGATTTTAGGTTTTGGGAACGAGCAACACCGAAAACTGTTTTTGTTAACCGAAGGACAATTCTGCTATGTGACACGCGTAAACTAACCCAAACTATAACAGATGAGAACTGATGTGGATGCAGCGTACGGAACGACTAAGCACTATTGCTTCCATCGCAGTTGCTTCTAAGCCGGATAGTCTGGCAACAATCCGGAAGTGCACCGGACAGTCGTTTCGCCCTATTGGGATATATCAGTGGTGCGCGTCCCCCAGCTCCCCCAGTAATAAAACCCATGATTGCTAGCGGCTAACGCCACTAACCGGCAGCTTATGACACTAAGCCACGAGAGACGGCGGCATACCGTCACGATTGGCAAGCTAACTGCGATATGGCGCAACTCATCGTCTATTACTTAATCGCTTTCGAATACATTTCATGTCCCCGCGAAACTTGAGTATAGTTCGCCGGGCACTTCACAGACATAATCACCATACAGCGAATCATACTGTGTAAGTAACAACCGAGCTGTTCCCACAACTTTGATGCTTAGCCCCAGTGAACCAACGGGACTCTCCTTAGCATACTGCTGTAGTTACCGCACCAAGCCACAGTGACACTGAATTTTTGTCAGGACACTACCACTGGGTGAAAAATTGTGTGCTGCTCACTCTTGCCTTCTCGTTGGGTTTCAGTGCTGTTGGGCCAGGTTAAACGTTTTTCGTCTGCAGTCTCAGCGCCCCTGCATGTCATGCTGCTAGGTCACATTAGCCCGCAACGTCCCGAATTCGAATGGCCACTCTGCGCGTGTGGGTACTATTTTTGAAGGACGTTCCTCCGTTCCTACTAAGAGTAGAAACACCTAGGACGAGTTATAACACTTCCTTAACATTCAATTCAGCAGTTTTGTCAACTTACATTATGCATGTGGACATCTGGTTTCTGTGCTAAGTATAGCTAACTTCATGTATATATATATAACGATACTTCTCATGATACTGGTAATAACCCAACGGCTTGCCAAGACACATTTCACACCATGTTTGGCAATAGCTGAGGTTCGTCATTAGTTTCATTTTTGACCCCCATGCCTGTTTTTAAACTATCCGGCACTTTCTTTGTCTTTTCTGTCCTTCATCTTACCTGTTGTTGATGATTGGTGTAACACTCCGGTAATATGTATCCACCGAGCATTCTCACTTTCTAATTTGTACTTTTTTCCTGCTTTATTGAGCTTTGTCAGGAAATTTGCTTCAGTCATTTTACCTATCCACGGTATTTTCAAAAGCATCCACAAAAACCAACTTTGCATTGCCTCTAACAGTGTTTCAACATGTTTGGAAAAAATAACAGTGTTTTATTCTCGTCATTGTGAGCCACGCTTGCAAATGCATGATCAATGCAATAAAAAAACACGTGTATTCGGTAACCGGATAACCATATCACACTTTAACCAACGACATACTGGATTTATATAGGTGCGTGCATAGGTAGCCATGTTGAGTAGATTTGTTAATGTGACTCTGGATTTGTGATTTTGTGAGATGGACTCAGCAACGCAGGAATTGATCACAGGAACCCCTTCGAAGTGGATGGCGTTTGTGAAGTGCCTAAGATCCTCCGGAAAGGTTAGAGGCAGTGACTTTATTAAGTGGCGAGTCACATCCGCCTTCAGTAACAATAATATTGTCGGACTTGATGAGCATAAACCAACCCTCAAGCAGCAGTTCATGCCATTTTGCTCGGTAACTCAAGTTTATCTAGGCAAACAGATGAGATGTACAACGATATAGAAAGTGTCTTAGTTACATTACTACAGTCCAGAAAATTTTATTTACAAGTAGATGAATCAACTTTGCGTGCTACGGACGCCATTCTCGTGGCATAGGTCCGTCTCTTCAATTATAACAAATTAGTGGCAGAGGTGCTGTTTGCCAAGAAACTTAAAACTCCTACCAAGGGCCAGTCTGTATTCGAGGTAGTCAATAGCTATTTGCCCGAAAACTCTATCAAGATGCAGAACGTAGTTGCAGGTGCAACAGTTGGAGCTGCACCAACGGTTGGAATATATAAAGGATCTATAGTCCATCTAAAAAATCGCCCTTCTGTTCATACAATTCGCTGTGATTCATCGAGAGCATCTAGTGGCTAAAAATTTGAGAGGGCGCTTAAACGATTCACTGTCAACTGGTATAATTGTCAACAATATCAAATTGCACCACCTTCATTATCGTCTTTCCCAACAATTATGTGAGAAGAACAGTGAAGGTTTCCAGGTTCTTCTGTTGCATGCAGTGGTTAGATTGCTCTCCAAGTGAAATTGTCCTCCTTGTTTTGTTGCACTCTGGGACACCATCATCAGAATTCTTTCAGAAACTGAGTAGGAAATAATATTGTTAACAATTAAGTCAAACATGTTTTATCTGGCTGATGTGCTTGAAAAACCCGATTTATTAAGCAGCACCCTTCAAGGTAATCTGAGTGATCTCGTCTTAAGCGAAGAGGCTATATGGTTTTTATTGAAAAGCTGAAAGTTTATGCTCAAAACACCTGATTTCAGGAATTCTCACAGTTCCCAATTCTTGCTATAAGCACGGAGGAGAATAAGGATGAAAATGTGATAGTTTATGTCAGACATTTACGATAACTCAGAAAATAAATGAAAGACGAATTTCTTGACCTGAGTTTCATGGAAATCCCGATTTGGGTTTTAGATCTATTTGATGTACGGTGCTGCAGTGTTGGTGCTCAAATCCAAGAAATTCTTATAGTGCCTCAAAGTGACAACCTAACAAAATCCAAATTTACGTAATATAAAAGGGCCTTTTGGATAAAGACTGATTCCTCTGACAGCTATCCCAGACTATGGGAAGTAGCCGAAATATATTTCCTTGCTTTTCATCCACATACTTAGTCATATGTGGATTTAGCATAATCGTTTCTCTGACAAAAATTAGAAACAGTTTAGACATCACAGCCAGAGGAGATATTCGGCCCTCGCTCTCAAGTCTGGGGCCAAATATAATTAAACTTGCTCAAGGATATCAGGTTAAAGGCTTGCATGTATATTTCGACAAATTATTATTATAAGTTACTGCACTTCTTAATTTATCACATGTTTTGCAGTTGAAGCTTCACAATAATTAAATTTATTGTTCCATATTAATGATGACACTGTAATTATAGATAAGTACTTTGATTTTGCCGCACCATTAATGTTATTATGAGGCTATGAAAGTTCAAAATGAGGTTTAGGTGAGAAACAGCAGTGATGTCAGCATTAAGAACTTGGTTATCATATGATTATGATTATTGGAAATCACAGATTTACGTCTGGCGTTACGGATTTTTGAAATTTTGATGATCAAAGGTGGGGGCCACTGGAAATGGAAGGGTTCGAAAGGGGGCCAAGGTTGAATAAAGGTTGAGAACGCCTGGTCTAGCCACTAATTGCTCAGCATCGTCTTACTCTTAAAACCTCTATCGCCGAAGTAGGTTTCCAACAGTTGGGCACTTTCGACCACATTTACTGAATCATGTGGCACCTTAGATTACGCTTAATATATTCTAACCCTTGTTATAACTTTTCCCTTCAGCTAAAAACCAACTGCAGAGATTTTGAGAAGACAGGAGGACAGGTGCTTCGGACCTCTTCACCTGGCTTGAAGTTGGAAATGATATTCGACCCATCAAATAGCGATGGTGAAGGCGTTTCCTACAACCTCACGCTGACGAGCTACTGTGAGTCCAATGTTGCTATCCTTAAACACTCTGGACGTGATTATATCTTTCATTACTGTTTGGATCTGTGGATGTGAAAGCACCGATCGTGACTTAAGTTGGCCGGAAATATCTCTACATTACCTGATTAACAGTCTAAGCTGTATATTTGTTGGTAACCAGCCTTGCTTATCGCTGAACACGTACCTAAACTGCGGTGCTGCTTAGGGTCTCTTTCTGTGAGATATATAATTGCACTTTATGTGTAAGCGTAAATGAAAAGGTTTCATGAAGCTCAGGGCATTATGGACTCACGGTTTAAGAGGTAGGTTGGCGCTATACCAACGTTATAACTATCACGTTTGGCGTTGTCTGACGCCATTTGGTCAAAACCGAGGCGGTTCCTCATTTACATGGTAAAAGTGGCACCGAGAGACCAAGAGGTTTGATGCTTGATGCTAGAGGAAATACAAAAATTCATGTATGGTCTGCAAAGTCTCATGCCCGCATACTTCGTTCTGTTGCGCTTATTCACTGACACCTGATTTCACGTATCATTTCGTTACTCCCATTGATTGCTGAGAATGCTTGTTTCATGACAGTGCGTCACAGTTTCATTCCAACACTGATGCTCTCACGTTCGTTTCCATGTGTGCATCCGATCGGTACTTAACTAGCGCGATCATTACTACTTTCGTTCATCTGCACACCTTTAGTGTTCTGGTTGGTTTCGACAAGTACGCGTCTGTTAAGTCTCCTGCTATACAGATGGCACCGTTTTCCTAGGAAAAGAATCCCACTGTTGCTGATTCTTGTTCCCAGTGCCGTTGGGGAGTGGAAGCAGTCATGGGGCCCAACTAAACAATTGGCGCCTCCATGGCCGGGCGATCCTGAGGGGCAAACGCATCAGTTGCTTGATTCTCTCTCGTTTAGGGCACAGTTTCAAAGTGGTAAATTTCTTATTTCGGACTTCAAATTTCTATCCGGCAATCTTATTTCGCTTACATCTTTGAATTGTTGGTATCATAGTTATGATAACAACGGAAGTAAGGGAAATTGGATCTACCACAGACCGGTGCACGGGTCTGATCTGAGACGAACTCTTCTCATTGCCTGAGATCAATAATGGACCGCAACGAACTCACCTTGAACATATCCTGATACGTAGTTTCAAGTTACCTCCATCTTCCTACATTATGTTGACTATGTAGGGGACACTTTGGTGTTCTGCGAATAAAACCACCCCGCCTTGGATCTCACAGCTGCAACCCATATGGGTCACTTCAACTTTAGTCACACCGTCCAACCAATGGGCTTGCACAATCCGCAAAGGGCCTTGACGTTAGCTTGTAAATCATGATGGTCCGCCGCTGTTCACCTTAGCTCAGTGACATCACTTGCTGGCTGGCGGTTCAAGACACTAGTGGGCATAAGTTCAGATCCCGATGGAGCACATTGAACGCGCATTAATGACGAGATCCAACAGGTCGAAACGGTCGTACAGTGCTTTCCTTATCATTTCAAGTACTATCTGTTTTGGAAGCTGCTGCAATGGACTCTTGATTCGTTACATCAAAGTGCCCTTAGTCAAGTGTAAACGAATTGAGCACTTCACTAACATGAAAACCGATCATTTATAGATGGAAATCATATTAACATTATTAAACACCATGACACAAGTTGGTTGTGGTTACGCGCTATTCAGTTTCACTATGGGTTGAAATGCATTAGTGTTCTACGGTTTTCGGAGCGAGCAGTTTTCGCTTCCTAAATGCAGACCCAGCTAAATGAAGTCTGCGTTTCGTTGCTTTAAATACCGACGAGATACTGAATTCAACAGTCCAATGTGCCAAGTTACCAGTCAACTGCATCTTAAGTGTCAGCGCACTTAAACCGACTGGACATCATCTCTGTTCATGTTTCTGACTTCGTTTGAGACTGTTCTCATCTCAGTTTATGGATGCTAGGGTTTTTTTGTCATGTTGCATGCATTAGTACTTCTGCCTTTTTAAGATATGAGCTTAAGGAGCATGCTGCTCTGGAGCGGCAACCTCCGCCCTCTGCACAAAAGTACTGTGTATAGCGGTAGGGGTGGGTGAACCGTGTGAGCAGTTAGTCACCTCGGGCTCTGTGATTTAAACCGCTGCTTCGTAAGCTCGAAGTTGTTACGCTCCAAGGAGCTGGGCGCTGCTGGCTGGTCTCGATAGTATGGGACGACCATCGTGCGTCTTTCTTAATATGGACTGACTGTAAATGAACATGGATATGACACACCCCTCACGAACGAGCTTTGTTGTAGCTAATAATCCTTTAGAGTCATTTTTCGAAATGGACACCACGATGTTGCGCATGCGCACGTGTTTTGCACTGATGCGCTGCTCCAGATGGCAACCATGAACTTCACTAAAGTTCTTACTTAGTTTGGTGGTGAACTGGCGTTTATTTGGACCCAGTCAGCTTCGACCTAGCATCGGAAAACGGCAATTCCAGTTACTTTTTATTTGTTTCATACTGGCACTTCTTAATAACAATAATAACAGTATCCAACAACCATGTCTGACTTTGAGAATAAAAGGTGCCATACGAAGCACCTAATGTAGTTTTTATTACTGGGCAAAGGAACTAATTGTTGGTGAAATTGGTTTGCAGCTATCGGTAAGAGTCTAAATGCAACAACACACCTGTCTCCTATCCGGAAGGAGCTTTAACCGCTGAACTGTCCGAATATGGTCCTAATTCTTCTTTATTCTCGGCCAGCGTTAGTAAAGTATACTCGCATGTCGGCGAAGCGCTGATACAAATGCTGATGTCTGATTGCTGCTGTCACTCTTTGTTTGTTGCCAAAGATGGCGGAAGGTGCTGTAAAGTGTCACTAGATGTTTTCTGATTGAGCTTGTTGGTGCACAAGTCATCGCACTATCTCACTGCCCAGTACCTTTACAGTAGGTTTTATGAATGCGTCGTAGAAGCATAATGAGCACGGAGAATAATCAAATCAAGCCTGCTACGCAGTTGTTAGGATGGAGGATTTGACTGAATACATCATCGCAGCGTTAAGAATTGAAGATTGGGGAAAACATGGAAACAGTTGGTGTGTCCAATCTCTCCAGGTAACGGCACAACAAAATGATCAGTTTAAAGCTGCGGCATCCAGAACACCTAAAAACCCAACTGATACAAAAGCAAATATGTGTTCGGTTTGCTCGTTTACGGTATTCTTTGTAAACTGCAACTTCTTCGAGATAAAACTCCTAATGAAGTAGACTGGATTTTGCTAATCAGTCGCCAGAATTGGGTGGGAATCCTTTTGTTTTATTGCAGAACTCAAAGCGCTCCAATGTCGTCTGGTGATTAGAAATACAGCTACTTACCTACAGCTCATTACTTGATGAGTGCATAATTTTGGCCACCTCCTTCAAGCATCCTGCATATTTTGCTTCACTAAAATAGAATGCGATGTGCTATAACTTTCATTTGCCTCAAGTTGGTGTTATGTAGTTAGTTTGATGCTCACACCCAATGGACACATAGCCCGTACAATGAACAATGCATTTTTACGGGTTAGGAAGTGTTGCTTTACAATTCCCGTTGGATAGTTAGTGAGGAGATCGAAATAATAATAATAATAATAATAATAATAGTAAAACACTTAGTACTTTAAATATGAAAATAAGGACTTTCGTTTGCTCCGCTATAGTCCTGTAATCCGCTTCCATTCACAGCACCCTCCGTTAACATCAAATAAATCCATGGTATACTCCAGGAGTAGGATGGAGACATTGCGCTAAGTGACAGAGTGTAGTTGGATGAGTGCGTCATCCAACTGTCGTTTAAATACTGTTAGTATCGGTGCAGAGCATTCCACGGGTGACGGACACGAATGGAAAAGAAATTTCTGCGGCACTCCAGATGACCATACTGTTTTGCGGGTTTTAATGCGTGGCCCCTCATGTTTGTATTGCTGCTGAGTCGCAGAGAATGGCGGCACACATGATGTGGGTCTCACAGAATCAAGTATGCCTTAATCAGTCGCCTCGCAGTCTGCGATAGATTCCACTGAACACCCCAATCGTTTCAGCCTCCCCTCGTATGAAAGATTGCGCATTCCAATTACGTTCTTAGATGTCCGGCGTTATGGCTGCTCCAGTGCATTAAGGTCATGTTTCAGCCATGAATGCCAGGCTTGAATTGCGTATTCGACATGGGGGCGAACCTACACACTGAACATTTGTCGAAATATGGAGCTGTCTTATTTGTCCAAATTCCTGCCGCAACAGCCCGTCGTGTTGGTTCCCGGTCTTCCAGGACTTTTCGGATTGCCTGGAGCAACCCAAGTCATCTTGAACCAGCAAACACAGGTCACATTCGACAGATGATTGTTGCAGCGCATTTGTTTCGAGCCGATATGAGTAGCTGCTCTGATGTCAGATGGAACGTACCTTACATTTACTCACGTTAAAATGCAGTAAATTTTGGGTTGACCATTGATATACCTTGTTTAAGTCCCGCTGAAGCAGATGCTGGTCGGCTTTCTTCGGGATCTTGCGTCAAATCTTGTTATCGTCGGCAAACATTAGAAAGTTTGAAGCGATTCTCTGTGTGAAGTCATTAATAAACACCAAAAGCAAACGTGGACCTAGAACTGAGCCTTGTGGCACACCACACTCGACTTGTATGCGGTCCGATAAAGAGCTCAGAACTCAGATCACTAATTGCCGTTGAAGTAGAAAGTTGGCAAACCAGCTTAAAAGAGGGTCGCTGATCCCGTACTACTGGAGCTTGGATAGTAGTATCCGATGGTCTAGATCAGGGATGTGCTAAGTCCTGCTCGCGAGCCAAATGCGGCCCGCGTTGATATTTCAACACGCTCGCGGCCTTGTCATGAAATAATAAATTCAGGCTTGCTTTTTTCCTACATATTTAACTTTTGTTATTATCTCAATGTTAGACTGAATATGGCCTGACATATTTTTACCTCAGAAAATATGGCCCTTCTTCCAAAAAGTTTGGACACTCCTGGT